GATCTCGGCTCACCGCAACCTCCGCCTCCTGGGTTCAGGCAATTCTCCTGCCTCAGCCTCCTGAGTAGCTGGGATTACAGGCACGCACCACCACGCCCAGCTCATTTTTTGTAGTTTTAGTAGAGACGGGGTTTCACCATGTTGACGAGGATGGTTTCGATCTGTTGACCTCGTGATCCACCCGCCTCGGCCTCCCAAAGTGCTGGGATTACAGGCTTGAGCCACCGCGCCCGGCAAGAGCTAACATTTTAGCTCCTAACAAGAGCTAGTGGGCAACTGATCCAAGCAGTTTACATACATTTGTCATTTCATAACTAAATATAATTTTACAGATTGATAACTAACGTTTTATAACTGACCTAGGGTTGCATAGCTTGTAAAAGGCAGAACCAGAACTCAGACCCACTTCTGTCTAATGTTTAAGCTCTTCAATACTCCACCACTGCCTGCCATCTTCCTTCTAATATATCCACAAATTCACCTGCATCTGCACACACAGCTTTTCTTCCCATCATCTTTGCACAGTAGAACAAATAAACCTCCTATCCATAGAAATCATCTGGATCTGTCTATTCCCCCAATTTTCCAAGGTATGACTTGTCTCTCTTTTGAATGTTGCAAAATTTCCCATTTTACTATTGCTTACCATCAACATATGAGCACTCTCAAAAGTCTTACCTTAAAAAACAAAAAAAAAACAGCTGGGCACAGTGGCTCATGCCTGTAATCACAGCACTTCGGGAAGCTGAAACGTGCACGTGCAAATCACGGGGTCAGGAGATCGAGACCATCCTGACCAACATGATGAAACCACGTCTCTACTAAAATTAAAAAAAAAAAAATTAGCTGGGCATGGTGGCATGCGCCTGTAGTCCCAGCTACTCAGGTGGCTGAGGCAGGTAACTCACTTGAACCCAGGAGGTGAAGGTTGCAGTGAGCTGAGATCACACCACTGTACTCCAGCCTGGCAACAAGGCAAGACTCTGTCTCAAAAAAAAACCTTTAACTGCCTTTCTCCCTCTATCAATCTAATTGTCTACACTCTTCACAGACAAACCTGTTGAAAAATTCACCTTCCTTGCCTTCACTTATTTTTCAACCCAACTTTAATCTGGGTTCCACCTGCAACATAACCACTGAAGCTATTCCTACCAAGGTAGGAACTACCACTTAAGGCCCTCTTGGCTCTAAAATTCCATCAGCCTTTTCAGTTCACCTTACACTTTTTCAATACCATTCTAAAAATTTATGAGTTTTCTACTTAACTTTAATTCCAGTGACTCTCTCTACCTTTTCCCAATCCAAGTATTCTCTTCCTTCTTCACTTTTTTTTTTTTTTGAGACAGAGTCACACTTTGTTGCCCAGGCTGGAGTGCAGTGATGCAATCTTGTCTCACTGTAACCTCTGCCTCCTAGGTTCAAGCAATTCTCCCACCTCAGCCTCCCAAGTAGCTGAGATCAAAGGTCCCTGCCAACATGCCTGGCAAATTTTTATATTTTTAGTTGAGACAGGGTTTCGCCACGTTGGCCAGGCTAGTCTCAAACTCCTGACCTCATGCAATCCACCCCCCTCGACCTCCCAAAGTGCTGGGATTACAGACGTGAGCCACCATACCTGGCCCCTTCTTCACTTCTTTAACCAGCTTATATTTCATTGTGTATCATTATTTCAATAACACTCTTGCCTACATCCTTAACTCTAAGATTTTCTTCACACCAATCTGGCAAAACCCCAATCCTGGATAAACCCAGGGATTCATCAATAAGCACCACACTCCCAGGTCCTCAAGCGTTTATTTCCCATTCTATACATGCACTATCTGGACATTCCCATTCTCTTCAAATTCTAAAATATCCTAACACCTCCCCTCCCCATACACACATTCTACTTCACCAAGGTCAAAAAAAGATACCGACTGGGCGTGGTGGCTCACGCCTGTAATCCCTGTATTTTGGGGAGGCCGAGGCAGGTAGATCATCTGAGGTTAGGAGTTCAAGACCATCGTGGACAACATGGTGAAACCTCATCACTACT